GTCTTGCCCGGCTGCGTACGGGGCTGCGACGCAGCGCTCGCCACTCGAGGTCCGTGAAGGGAGGCGGTGCATCCAATCCGGCATCGAATGTATCGATGCCGTCATGGTGCCACCTAAACCATCCCTCCACGGCCCCGCCGGCCCTTGGAAGGTGGACCTGTCGCTGGCAGTGTGCTTTGGTTTCGCTTCTGGGACTACCGTGCCTCGGTGTAAAGGTACCAACAACCGTACTCCCAGGTCCACCAGGACCCACGCCACCAGATGTACCGGCGACGTGGGTCCGGCGCAGCACCTTGTACGGACATGATGGACGAGAGCTGCTATGCTTCCGTCGCGTCTTCGCGACCTGCCGCGGGAGTCAGTCTGCCTCACACGTGCGTTTATCCCTTTCCTCGTATAGCCCGAACCCTCGAACGTCTGCGACGGATGTTCGCAGCCTTCAGAAACAAGGCTTGAGGGGATCTGATGAACTAAACCCTGGTGTTGTTTGTTTTAAAGTTTAGGGTTTAGGGTTCAGGGTTTAGGGTTTAGAGTAGAAGCCAAAAAGTTGGGAACGGTTTGGGGTTTAGGGCATTCAAGCATGTCATGTTCTTTGTTGCCAAACTGAAACCTAAACCCAGATCCTGAACCCCAAAGCTGTGGTTTCGGTGAACTCAAGGGTCATCCGAAAAAACGACCTCCACCTGCTAAGTTCGGACAATTAGAGTTGATGGGCTTTGCGTTATGTTGCACCATAACTTACATTTTCTGCGCTCGAAGGAATAGTAGGGGCACCAACTATCCAGGGTTCTATATCAAGGCAACATAGGAGCCTCTGAATCCTTGGTGAAACGCTCCTTTTTCTATGTCTTTGTGACCCTCTATACGAAAGCAGAGCAAGGAGCAGCGATGCAATGACCTCCGAAAAACTGAACCCTAAACTCTAAACCCAAAACCCTGAACCCTAAATCCAAACCCTCAGCCTAAACCCTGAACCCTGAACTGAACCCCAAATTTAAATCCCAAACCCTCAACCCCAAACCCTGAACCCTTATGCCCTACCCGAACCGCCTTCGCCACTCGTTCCTTTGCTTTCGCCTTCAATGCCTCAAGGCTTTGCAGGGTTGGAAGCCTTTCGGGGGTCCGGGCGTGTAGGTGTTTATGGGGTTTATGGGGCTTAGGGGTTTGGGGTTTGGGGGTTTGGGGTCCAGGGGTGTAGGGGTTTATGGGGTTTATCGGTTTATGGGTTAAGGGTTTGGGGTTTCTGGTCCGGGGGTTTAGGGGTTTACGGGGTTTATGGGGTGAGGCGTTTGGGGTTTTACGGTTTGGGGTCTTCAGGCGTTGTCAGCCAAATCCTGTTTAGGAGCTGGGCAAAGAACCTCAAACTCCACAAACTCGAAACCCGAAACCCTACACCC